TTCTCAAGAAAGAGACCTTGAAAGAAAGTTGAAAATTAGTAATCTTGAACTTTTGACTTTGATTTGTTACATGGGCAAATTTTTTAAGGCCAAAGGTAATTAAACTTGAAATTTTGCGGATAAACAAAATTAAAAGTTAAAAATTCAAAATCACTCGCCTGTTAAAGTTAAAAATTCAAGATCACTCGCCTTTAACGTCATAAAAACTTATTTGGCAGGGGAAGAGCCCAATGAGCTACATTTCCAAAAATGCTACTATTACCCTAATTGTGATTATTCTTAATTTGACCTGAGCTTTATGGATTTTTAGAATCTTTGGCTAAAATTAAAGACCTAAATCCGGACAATTATCTCCCTGAACAGCTTAACTTCTATACATTGTTCATGTAAAAAAAATTCAAGTTACACTATCAGATTTATTCAAAATAATAAGATAGGTAAACAAGTACAAAATATATTAATATTGTGAACAAAATTACACCATCAATCTATGTAAATAAAATCTCTCGTTACTAGTTTAACTTCTTTACACCGTCCACCAATATATACTTTTATGTCACAATTCCACGACTTTCTACCTCTTTTGAGAATTAAGCTTTATTTGATAATTAGGCAAATCCTACTTGTATCTTTTTCTAGTAAATTATCGCGTCATCCTTATTTAAATTGTCGAAATCAAGATTTTCATTAAGAAAACTGAAACTATAAAATATACATGATGGTTAACTTTTCAGCGAAAAAAGTAAATGAATTCGATTCATGTCAATGTCTCAGACTTTTCTTTTAGATTCTTAATCTGTCTTTTTCATTCCACTTGTTGCCAGATATGTATTTATTAGTAATTTGCTTTCCTCCATTGGTATATCACTTTCACTTCACTTTTCAATTAACTCACTCAACTATATATCTAAAATTAAATGCAATTTCCTTCTTTCACTTTCCAAATGTCTTTTTTTTTTTCCAGCGAAAATATCCTTAAATTTGACACGTAGTATTAATTTTATTTTAAAACTATTTGACAGTTTTAAAACTATCATTTTATTTGACTAACTAAATTAAATATATCTCGATCTTACAACATGAGTAAAATACACTCCTAAATTCCTGCCAAGTTTAAAAGTGTTTTCAACACTTTTCTCGACTCTTTATCAAGAGTCTCATACTCCTACAAAATTTTAAAATTACATTTTGAGATCACTTGTTATGTCACGTGACAGAATGCAGATCACAAAGTTCAATTCAATACTTTTCTCTTCTTTTTTCCCCCGAGGAATTTCAGAAAACAAAACGTACAATCTTGAAAGAACCAAGTGCTAGCTCCACTAATATGTCTCAATTAATAATAATAATTCCATGTACCACTACAACAAACGTAGCTTTCTTTCTTTTCTTTTTTTTCTCATAATTTCATGAGTTATTCCTTTGATTTTTTCTGCGTGTACGTTTAATTTGGAGGAGGTGGGGGTGGGGGTCACTCTTATTAAAATCGACAACGTAACAAAGTAGTCGATGCAAAAGGTATCAAAGAGACATTATAATATCTTTTTATTGTCCTTTTGACATTTTACGTCCACATATTGTTAACAACTTTAGAAAAATGAAGGGGAGCTGCAGTAATTAATAGTACTATAGTGGTCCTTTTAAAAGTTTGGTGGTCCATGTGTAAATAAGATTCATGAGGTCCTTATCAAGAAATATTACGCTACACAAATAAGATCAAACTTAATTTATTTTCTGAGCGCATGAATTGATGGCCAAATTAGAAACACGTATTTCCTATCAGGTCCAAGTTGCTTGTTGCTGCATAATAATAATAATGATAATAATGTGATACATATGACAATTCTCCAAAAAAAAAAAAAAATTATTCCTGCCGTTTCAAAAATAATATTTACTTTCATTTTTAGTCGGTTTAAAAACGGATGATCCTTTCCTTTTTTAGACATCATTTTAATTTCAAGATTAAAGGACATTTTGGTACATTTGACATAACTTTGATTTAGTACCACAAAATTGAAACGTGTTGTTTATTTTGTTAAAGTTTGTGCTAAATCATAAATACTAGATCATTCTTTTTGAAACGGAAAGACTAGACAGTGACATGTTTCCATTTAAATGGAATAAGCACTAGAATTCTTTTATGGAATGGGTTAGTTTAGTTTTGATGTTACACCGTGGTGAAGTTTGAACTCAGGAAGCAATGTTTTAAGGAGTCGTTTGGTAGGATGTATTAATTAAAATAGTCCTTGGATTAAAATTTAATCCATTCAATACAATGTTTGGTAGCACATTTCAACTGAAACCCACCTAATATATGGATAACTTAATACACCATATATGGTCTTATCTAATACCAAGGATACCTAGGGATTACTAATACCATGTTTAATAAGCCTTGGATAAGGCAACAAAATGACTGAACTGCCCCTAAATTTCTTTATACAGTCTTCAGAATTGGTAAAGAAACCCCTCAACTAAATTTATTATTATTTTTATTTGACATGACAAAATAAATTATTTTTTATATTATATTCATAATTAAAATAATAAATAAATAGTGAATGCAGCATATCAATGGCTCTCAGAGTCGGTCACTAATCCAGTATTGAATTACGTCCCAATTTATTTACTGAAACTGATCAGGACAGTAATGAAATTGGCTTGCAATATAATATTAATGGCCTTGGCTAGCAATATTACTCCCCATTTTATTCAGGTAAGGTACCGTTCTTGCCAGTTTGAATCAGAATAATTTAGATCCGCTTATAAACTTCAATTTGTCGAATTTAGTTTAGTAGTTAAACTCTATTAATGTATATATGATATTAAAAATAATTTATTTTACCATATTAAATTTTTTTAATGCTAAATTTAGTCAAGTGATTTTATTGATACAAAGATTAAAGTTGAGTGATTTTATTGATACAAAACAAATTTTAATAAATTCCCCAAATTGAGTGACCTTTTGAGATATTAACTCTTAAAAATGTGATGTATCACTTAAATAATGTCAAAACCATCCAATATAAATATTGGGGACTATAACAATTCATTTCTCAAAATAGTCATATTTGAGGGGATAGGATAATGTGATGAGTAATATTGGCTAATGGAATGCACGGAAGCTTACCAACGGAATGAACATGAAAATATGTCATAATGCTATACATAAAATAAAAAATCACATAATAATCCAAGGGTATAATTGAAAATAAGCTTCTTGTAGATTCTTAAACAACACACAAGATTAGGTTGGAAATAATGAACCAAACACTTGATAAAAAATAATCCCTGCATTGTTAATCCTTGCATTACTAATCACTGCATTATCACTCTTTCTACCAAACGACCCCTAAAAGGCAAAATGGAGAGTCGTCTGAAACTTAACAAGTGATTGATGAGTATTTCTTTTATACTTGTGTTCATCCCATGAATGGCAAGTTCATCACACTCCTCATCTACCGAGCCTTCCAAGTTCCAACTCTGTGCATTAGTGCCACAAGTTTAGTTAGAAAACAAAATTATGAAGCAGTGTCACGTGACACCCCATGAGCCGTGCTAATTCCACCCCTGTTTCCAACTGTGTGCATTAAGCAAAACTGAATTCTGTAGTATAATGATCATTGAGAGCGAGCACGGAAAGTATAATGATTTTAAATGGTAGACTAAAAGGTATAAAATATTCAGTTTAAAAACCAAAATGTATGATATCAAATTTGACATACCTCATCCAGAATTCGTTTGGATCCATCAATCATCAATAAGATCCTCAGTATCACTGGGCCAAGCGCTGATCCCAAAATGCCAGTTTGCAGAGGTCCATGTGTCCCTATTCTGTTCCAAATTGAATGATCTAAATTGTGATTGCCATCGACACAACAATAAAATACCAAGTGTGATCCGACAAGTGAGGTCTAGAGGGCTTGCCATCGACACTTAATGTGTAAACTGCCCAAGCTTTTTCTACTGATCCATCATTATTCAAAAAATCCATCAGTTTCCGAGAACTGCCTAATTACACATTTTGGTGCCTTACTTCTTCTTGTCAGTTGATGACAATTGATGCCATCATAGTGATTAACGTTGCTGAGAACGTTGAGTGCATGTAATGGTTGTCGTTGTGTTTCCTAGCAGAATGTGTAATGGTTAACTATGACCATTATAACATTATTTCTCCATATTAAAATCTCATTATTCTTCCTCCATTCTTGTAACTTATGTAACTACTAAGTCATTTATTTTCTCTATTTACTACTCAATATCTTCCTATTCATTGCTAGGAAGACTTCCGCAACTATAAATAGTGGTGGTCTTCATTTGTTTTGAGTACAAGAGTGAATAAAAATTAGTCAAAAAGAGAATTCTCATTTGTTGAAAGGAGGTGTTTCTTTTTTGTGGAATTTTGGACTCCACTCTTGTTAATAGTTTATTGAATTATACTTTGTGATTAGGCTGTTATATTCTGGAGGGATCAAGTTAAAAGGACTATTACTGAACGAGTGAAAAGATTTGTTGCGGGCTTGAATTTCCTTTAAGAGAGCGAGATATCGCACCTCAGCCCTGAAGTGATTTTATTTTTGATTGGAACATCATAAAGGTATTCTCCTGCCAAGCACCTCCGATCCGTATACAGCGCCTGAAAAGTGTGGCATGGATGGCTGACACACTTTTATCAACATTTGTATTGTTAATCTTTGTAATCAAATGCTTGTTACGTTAGTTTGATTACACTGATATATATTTTTTTTTTGCAGGATTTAGAGTCATCAGTCAGGTACTTTGCAAACCGTTCTAAATGTTTCAAATATTTAAATTATATTTTTTAAAAATTAAAATGAAAATATTTGACTTTTGGAAAAATATTAAGAAAATAGTGGATTAATGAAATACTAAGTAATTGTTATTTTTTTGACAACTAAAATAATAATTTTTCCATATTTTAAAAGTTGGAGTATTTCATGTAGTTATAAAGGAGTAAAATGATGAATTTTCTGACCTAGCTATTGGTACAGCGAATTAAGGATATTCCAAGCCTCAGACTGCACACAAACTGTTTGATGATTTGTTTCAAAGAGCCCTCACATTCATATACCTCTTAATTGTTCTTTTATCTATTCGTGTTCAACAAAATCTTTAAGTGGGTTCAGTTAACCGCATTCCGAGTTCTTATTTTCGTTTGAACTTTATCTACAGGTAGAAGCTGGGTACCCTGCCTGCTTTACCACATTGAAGACCAATTGTCTTTGAAGTTTGTGGAAGATGCTTATAAAACGTCTCTTTTCATCTTCACATGCCTTATCCTCGTCTTCGAATTTGCTTAAAATCGGAAGCGTTTTGAAGCAAGCTAGGACATTTACAGATGATGATGTTCTTGGGTATTCTAAGCTGACCCATGACGCCAATCCATTGCACTTTGATGCTGAATGCGCCAAGAATGCTGGTTTCAGTGACTGCCTTGTTCCTGGGATGCTTGTTGCGTCCTTATTTCCCAGGATTATTGCTGCCCATTTTGTAAGTTTTTTTATTGTTTAGTAGAACGTTCATCAATTCGTGTATCTAATCGAAATCCAAAACTTCATGATAAAGATAAACATGTTTTTAAACATTTTGATTATTTAAAGGTCAAGTAGAAGTAAAATGTGTTAAAAAGAAGGTACTAACCTACTGAAATCGGTTAACCTATGCAGGTAGCTTAACGATCTTTAAACTTTTTTTGTGTATATAGCTTAAATAAACTAGCTAAATATGCATACTGTTGAATGGGAAAGGTGTTATGTAGGTCTAGTTTTATGTTGAACAATCGGTTAGTGTAAATCTAACTATTGTCATTTGGTAATTTCTCCAGCCAGGAGCTATATATGTTTCACAAACCTTGCACTTCAAATTACCTGTTTATATAGGAGACGAGATCATTGCTGAGGTACAGGCAGTAAGCATCAGACAAATCAAAAACAAGTACATGTAAGTAGTACCTCTTGGCTGAAGATTGATACCGACATGAAGTATGTATTTTGTAGCGCTCCTAATGTGTTGCTCTTTCTGGTTCAGCGCAAAACTGTCAACAAAATGTATCAAATGTGATGGTGGTCTGGTTATAGATGGTGAAGCAACAGCAATGTTACCATCTCTGGCCATGGAACCACCAAACTTGGCAGTTACTTCCACCTAATCGGTAACATCTTTGCTTGTCAGCTGAAACGTTCTAGAGCTGCACGAGCTTCTCTTAAGAGAAATACGAAGGGAATATCCCTGAGTATTGCCAATCCTGGATCATTTGCATTGACAAGTTCTACAGCATATATGTCATTCAGTTCAAAGTCTTTTAAGTTTTCGTAGTAATTAGCAAATGCTCATACTTTGTTGTTAACATTTGACTCTGGTACTTGCTGCCAAACAATGTCCTTGCACTAAAACTGTCATTTGAGCCTGAAAGCTTTGAGATGTAAAATCTTTATGGAGTCTTGAATTTCGATTCCTTTTGACTCCACCAATAGAGATATATTTTGCATAATCGTTACTTAAATCATATTAATTAACGTGTATTTTCACAAAAAATTATCATTTTATTATGTCCAATTAACAGCAAAGAGAAAAAAAACTGACAAAGTTTGCAATACATGTCTTGCACACTTATAACAATTCACTTGCACAGGTGATCAACTTGAAATTTTGAAGCTCCTGTCTACTAACTTTTTCTTCCAAACTCTAAATTCTCTTATCTCATGTACTGTCAATGATCAAACAAGTAAACTACAGAAGAAACAGTTCATAAACTCCACGGAAAGGCACGTGAATAACTTACGACTTTATTAATCTTAGAGGGAATAAGTTTACAGCTAATCCCACTACCAATGTACTTTTTATCTGAGCTCACATTATAGCTAGAGAACCAGTTGAAAATAACATGACCTTCTCTTTTAGTCCTTGAAGCATGATCAACACTCATCTTTGTCCTAAGTACCTGACTACTACTTGTATAGTTATTGGTTACATCATGGGAAGTCCTTGTGGAGGAGCAAATGTTGGTGCATTAGGCATTTTTTTGTCCACGACAATTGCTTGAGTAGTGAGAACCATTCCTGCAACTGAGGCTGCATTCTGCAAGGCACATCTTGTTACCATGGCTGGGTCGATGACACCAGCTTCTACTAAATCCTCATACTTGTCAGTCATTGCATTGTAACCCATCTTCCATTTGCTAGCCTTTATCTTCTCCACTACTACTTCCCCTTCAACCCCAGCATTCTGAGCTATCAAAGATGCCGGAGCTACTAATGCCTGCAACCACAATTAAACTTTACAAAAAGAACAAAGAAAAAGAAGAAGAAACAAGAAACTTAAATTGTTTTTGGTAAGAGATTCATCCAAAACAGGCTTTCAATAGTTACAAACTATTCCTTTTGCACATGATTTTTGTTCAATTAGCAACCATAATAAAGGACAAGAAAATTCTAAGATAAAGAAAGAAAATGGTATGCTACTATATATGCAGCAAGTGTTCTGTACATTCATGTCTAATTGCGCGTTATCCAGTGTTGTCACTGCTTTCCCGTTCCCAAATTCAAATGATACCACCCGAAGTCATCATCTGTTGTTCAGTGTATGTTTCCAAATTAGATTATGTCCTAGAAGTTAGCTCATGCCCTAACACATTGCAAGTTCTTGATCCTTCCACCAACAGATAGTGAGTTGGTTAGAAGTTAGCTAGTCCTCTCAATATTAGCATTACAGTACTATCCATTTGCTATAGAAAAGTTGCTAAAGCCTACTAAGTCAAGTGATACTGTTCAGTTGATTCTCTAGCACAGATGACTAAAAACCCGAATTTCTCCAATCAAACAGATTATGCCATAATAATAATTTAATAGGTAGCATACTCACAAAAATAAAACAAATAAAACAAATAACGAGAGAACTTCTTGATTGAAGCAACTTGGGCACTGTTTACCTTCTGCACAATGTCAGCGCCCAACTTCTCATCAGGATCTTCAAGATTGTCCTTAATGGCAGGGACATAATTTGATAGATGAACCAACACAGCACCACCACCAGGTACGATTCCCTCTTCAATTGCAGCAAAAGTTGCATTTTTTGCATCCTCAATTCTAAGCTTGCGGTCCTCAAGCTCAGCTTCTGTTGCAGCACCAACCTTTATGACAGCAACACCTCCAGACAACTTTGCAATTCTCTCAGAAAGTTTCTCGGAGTCAGACACTGATTCTGACTTGTCCAACTCCTTTTTAATCTGAGAAATCCTAGCCTGTATCTCGTCCTTTGACACATCATCAGCAAGGATGGTTGTTGAGTCCTTGGTGATAGTCACCTTTCTAGCAAAACCTAGTGCTTCGACCGGGGTATTCTCAACAGGCATACACAAATCAGCTGCCTGGTACTCGGCTCCTGCAAGTATACACAACCAGTACTTCAGGAAATGTTCCCTTGTGAGGTAGATGCATTTGAGACTAGAGACACGATGCTTGATAAAATAATTCAGTCCACTATCAAAGAAAAGCAGATAGGATAATAGCACTAAGGGGATTCGCTTAAAACAGAATTGCTAAATAAACTGCAAAATTTATAAATTCAAGGAGAGTAAAACTACACATTATCTAAGAATTCTACTGGCTTAACATCCCACCAGCATCAGGTATAACTTCTTCCCCCTTTCCTCCTCAAACTCACATCCAAAATAGAAAATAAAAGAGGAAAAGAAAAAACATTTTTTGAAGACAATGTACTATGGTTCCTCCATTAATATAGTTCAATAATATGCTTTCACTTTCTTTTTTTACTTTTAAGATTATTCTGAAGACACCTAATCATACCAGAATGATGCTAACATTTACAACTGAACATCTCCGTTGGACAAATGCCTTCAATATATGCCTGACAAAACACAGACAGCTTCCAAACAAGTTTACTCTAACCAATATACTATTATCACTTTGTGGGAAGTGGTACAATTAGGTCAGGCAAGTTCAACCACCTGTTACTATGGCAATATCTTGAAGAAGAGCCTTCCTCCTTTGACCAAAACCAGGTGCTCTGATGGCAGCAACATTCAGTATACCTCGCAGCTTGTTCACAATAAGAGTAGCTAAAGCTTCTCCAGTTACTTCTCCAGCAATAATGAGTAGAGGGGCTCGTAATTGAGTTGCCTTCTCCAAGAGGGGCATAATATCCTTGATTGCTGAAATATCGTGATCTGTAACCAACACTCGAGCATTCTCAAATTCAACAACTAGTTTCTCCTGATTGGTGATGAATTGTGGGGAAATATATCCCTTATCAATCTGCAAACGACGGAGCAAAGTTTGCGTTAGCATATATTACAGGCAGTGCAAGAACCATACATAGTGGGGTTCGTGGGTTCAGCAGAAGTACAGAACCCACAGTTTCTGTCTCAAACCCCATGTATATACATGATAACCAAGTATTACTTAGAGTTGGATATATATGTTGTAACCCTCATTCTCAACTCAGAACCCACGACATCTAAACTTTGGATCTCCAACTGATTACAGTTGAACTACCAACCAAATAGAAAAACGAACTGTGGAGAATACATTCTCGTCTAAGTAGGTACATACCTCCATCCCTTCTTCAACACGAACAGTGGTTTCAAAGGAAGAGGATGACTCAATTGATAGAACACCATCAGGACCAACTTTGTCGATTGCATCAGCAATCATGGTTCCGATCTCATCATCATTTCCAGCAGAGATAGAAGCAATAGCTGGTGGGAAGACAATTATTTGCAAAATACTTATTGCCATCCATTGTAGCAGTAACAAAAGAAGGAAAATTAATTACCTTTGATGTCATCACGACCTTTAACAGGCCTAGCCCTCCTTTCTAGCATTGCAACCAAAGCATTTACAGTTTTGTCAATGCCCCTCTTCAGAGAGACTGGATTTGCACCAGATGTAACACTTAAAAGACCATGCTTAATGATTTCCCGGGCAAGAACGGATGCAGTTGTTGTCCCGTCACCAGCAGCATCATTGGTTAGGCTTGCAACCTTCACCATAAATTCTAAAGTTTCAGTACACAAATCAAGTAGTATGATAAATGTGACAATCGTTCTTTTACTGTCTGTCTTTAGAACAATTAACCAGATACAGGACAAATTCAAAGAAAATAACCAACCTCTCTGATAAGGGTGGCGCCTGCGTTTTCCATGGCATCAGCTAGCTCTATGGCTCGAGCAATTGTGACTCCATCGTTAACTACTTTCGGGGTATCATATTCGTCTAAAACCACATTCCTCCCTACAGAAAAGTAACAGGTCATCAAGAGTTCATATGAAACAAGCAATACAAAAGCATCATAACAGAGTCGATCAAATAAATGGCTGATTTTAGAAACACAACTGGTATAGCATGAAACCCACAGGATACGCTGATTGCAGCAATGCTGGAGGAGGAAAATCAATTCTGGCTTCAAAAGGAAAGTCTCTTTTGATGAAGAGATGGAAATTTTAACTTGTTATATTTTGGCAATGTCATATTTCTCTGTGCTTTCACACAGGAAGGATGACAAACACATAACATTGATACATCTGCAAAATGTCTCATGTTTGAAGTCTTTGCCTCCAAAAGGGGAAAATAACTTTCCATACAATTATCTTAACTTTAAACTTCATATGTACTTGTTTCAACTAACACTAAGACATTATTATTAATCTCCAATACTCAAAAATTGCATCAAAGCACTCTCCGATTTGCTACGTATTATGATTAATCTTGACTATTACTTTTTCCTAACCAAACACCACTGAGAAATAATGACTTCACTCATAGAAAAGACACTCTACATCCAAAAAAAAAAAAAAAGAACTTCCATTGATCTGGAAGATGAAGCTTAGGAAACATACCCTTAGGACCAAGAGTGACACCGACAACATTAACGAGCTTATCAATTCCTGCTTGAAGGGCAGCTCTTGATTTCTGGTCAAATGCAATATCTTTAGCATTTGCCCTTACTACTAATCGGCTCTTTGAAGCCTTATTGTTGAATTTCTGTCCCTGCAATTGATTCACCCTTCTTCCTTTCAACCCCACCTTCATTTAACACCCAATAGACCAAAAAGCAGTTAAAGATCACAACTTTAAGCAGATCCCAACAAATAAGAAAAATATCTTAAGATTCCAACAAAGAAGATGAGAATGAATGTACCTGTTTAGAGGAAGAAGGAAGAATAGAGGCAGTGGAGATCCCATTTGCAGAAGCCATTATCAGAACAAACTGTATACTGAAAGAGGGTTCAAGCAGCAGCAATGATATTCTTCTAGTATGAGTAAAAGGGGAGTAGGTGGAAGCATTAAGGTTTGTAGCAAAAATAATACTATTTGAAAATGGAATATTATTTGAGAATTTAAGTTATACATTTTCTTTTTCAGATAATAAGGAGTTGCTAGGATAGTAAACATTATAAGCAGAGATACATTATATATACAATTAAACTTTTAATTT